TAGGATTCAAATCAGTTTCAACTTTCTACTCTCAGCAGGTTGATTGTAAATAGGAGCGACAAACCCTTTCCACATTTATAAGAAATATTGTTATTGTTATATGATATTTGTATAGCGCCAATATCCAGCGCAGCTCAGCTGCTCAAAGGCGCTGCCAAAGGCGTTCAGCTCAAAGGCACTCAGCTGACAAAAGCAGAGCGTGTACAATTGTGACTATATCATGAGCAGATATTTGTTTCAGCAGTATTACAGCTGTATGATGTTGTTTGTAAATAAATCTGGTCTGAATTACGAATTGGAATGTGAACAGGATCCTGCTATAAACTGCCTATAAAGTTGTGAAGCTTGGATTTTCAGCGCCAACACGCGACATGGTCATATCATGAACGGCACACAACAAGTGCGGGAATTACATCTACCGCGTTGAAAAGAACTTCAATCAGTTCAATTCATTTTTTTTTATTCAGCGTACTGAAGAGGTCACCGGCCTATAGTACAATACAAGTGTGTACAGTCACATAATGTTTAAAACAGATCTTCTAGTGTTGAACCCATGATAGATTTTTAACAATTTGTACAATTGTTGCTTTCAACAATAACTTTAATTTATATTCACAATGATCGATGTGGTAAAATGGAGGGATATATAACATTCTTAAATTGTGAAAATGCGGACAAACTAAAATAAAATGAACTTCAATCATATGAAGGCATTAACAACTTATGATACATATTAATACACAAGGTCAAGGTCGCGCCAGGTGGTTGCACCTTTCACAGGCTCTGTCATTTTTTCAAGTTTTCATGAAGAAAGGGACCTCAGATAGATCTCAGAATTAACATCAGTGTTGGTACAGATCTCAGGAAGACAATTGTGTGAATTGTTTGACGTCATAGTGCATATATGGCTGCAATTCCATGGAAATATGTACAAGTTATTTTGAACTTTTGGGCCACCCCTTCTTCCCTGTCCATTGTTTAATTACATAACCTTGAATGACTGTACTCAGACAGCAAGCTCTATGTGCTGAGTGGGTGCTTGTGTGAGACAATGCAGATTGGCTTGTCACTGTGTTGGTCAATCATGACTCTGCTTACATACTCAGCTGAGGAGTGTAAAGCAATAGACAACACAAACGTTTACAAAATTCCCCTGGAAGTGTACAGGGATCTCAGAAGTAATGGGATATGTAGTGCAAGGAGGACAAAACGGGGTTCAAGAGGAAGAAAACAGAAGTTGAATTTTCCCCTCTATCAGCAAATATTAGATAATTCTCAGCCTCTAAGGTTCGGCCTACTCAATGCCCGATCTGCTAAAGCGAGAAATGAACATTGTGATAAAGCTCAACAGATTTGCGATCTGATTAATGACAATAACTTGGACATCCTAGCGCTCACAGAAACCTGGTTTCGTGAAGGGGATGTTGATCATATTGCAAAAAAACAAAATCGTCCCAGCCGGTTACAAGCTTGTTCACAAGTGCAGACACAACAAACGTGGCGGCGGATGTGGAGTTATACTTCGTGAAACAATAGACTGCAAGCAAGTTAACCTTGTGCAGCCTACATCCTTCGAATTACTCTCTCTTGCTCGGAATGTGTGCAATCAGCAAGTGCATCTTGAGGTGGTGTATAGACCACCTACATCAAAGCAAATTGACATTTTCTTGTGTGAGTTTGAAGATTTATCAGACTCTTTGAATCACTCAAGTGGTGACTTCAATATACATCTCAATGACAAAAATCACAAAAATGCTTATCTGTTTGAATCAGTGTTACAGTCAAAGAACTTTCTTCAGCACCTTCTGTTTCCAACTCACAGAAATGGTCACATGCTGGACTTAGTCATTACAAGGTCGGATGAGTTACATCTGAACAAGTTTGTGTATGATCACTCTGTATCCTCTGATCATTTCGGTATACTATTCTCCCTGAATATTCCCAAACCAGAAAAACCCAAAATGAATGTGAAGTGTAGAAAGTGGAGGGACATTGATATGAAGGCATTCCGTCAGGATATTGAATCTGCATTTTCAACCATTGATGCTTGCACAGCTGATATCTCTGACAGTGTGAACCTATTTAACACACAACTCGGTGATGTTCATGAGAAACATGCTCCATCTAAGATTGTTACTGTGACAGTACGACATCAGACTGCCTGGTATTCTGACGAGATTCGGGACGCTAAAAAACATCGCTGCAAGCTCGAGAGGCAAATGAGAAAGACTGGTCTGACAATACATCGGCAGTTGCATTCATATCAACGTGACTGCATCAATAAACTCGTAAGTGAAGCAAAGACATCTCATTTCAAACAAGCCATTGGTGAAGCAAAATCGCAGAAGGACATGTACAGGGTCTGCAACACCTTGCTTTTCAAGAAGAAGAAGAATCATCTGCCTTCACACGGTTCACCTGCAAAACTGGCGGAGAGTTTCAATGCATATTTTAATGATAAAATTATCACCATCAGATCTTCACTTGAAATTGCTGTTAAACATGCCCCTCACAGTGGTTCCAGCGCCAATGAATCTCAGATTGTGATACAACCTCTCACAACATTTAACCTAACAAGTGAGGATGAAATATCCAAAGTTATTCTTAAGTCGCCCACAAAATCCTGTTCCTTGGACCCACTCCCCACTTGGCTGCTGAAAACCTGCATGGCTCAGGTAGTGCCAGTTATTACCCGGATTGTGAATCAGTCTCTGTCAATGGGTGTCTTTCCTTCGGAATTGAAGCACGCTCTCATCACTCCTTTACTGAAAAAGCCAAACTTGGATCCAGACAATCTAAAACATTACCGCCCAGTATCCAATCTGCCATTCTTGTCCAAGGTCATCGAAAGAGTTGTCGCATCAAGGCTCAGCGATCACATGGAACATAACAACTTGGGTGAAGCAATGCAATCTGCCTACAAGCGCAGACATAGCACTGAATCGGCGCTTTTACGAGTTCAGAATGACTTACTAAGTGTTGTGGATTCACAGGGTGCTGCAATACTGGTTTTATTAGATCAATCTGCTGCGTTTGACACTATTGATCATTCCATACTGCTTCTATTACTGGAATCAAGGATTGGAATCAGCAGCACAGCCTTGGACTGGTGTGAATCCTTTCTTTCTGGCCGCTACCAGTCAGTGACAATAGATGGATGTAAATCACAAAGGCATAAACTTAGATACGGAGTTCCCCAAGGCTCGGTCCTGGGACCTGTCTTGTTTACTGTATATACACTGCCTGTAGGGGACATTGCAAGACGGCATAACCTATCGTTTCACCTTTATGCAGACGACACACAGTTGTACCTAGGCTTCAAGCCTCTGCAAATATCATCTGCTGAGTCGACATTTGCATTAATGAGTAAAGCTATCGACGACATAAGATGTTGGATGTCTACCAACTATCTGAAGTTGAACAATGACAAGACAGAACTTTTGATCCTGAGACCAAGGTCTCTATCAGGGAAAATGGATTTCCCAACCTTAAAGATAGGAGACAGCACAATATCACCAAGTGATCAAGCTCGAAACCTCGGAGTTATCTTTGACTCCTCCCTGAGTATGGATCGGCATGCAGACACTGTCTGTAAATCCGCCTTTTTCCATCTGAGAAACATCAGCCAAATCAAGCACTTCATTGACAGATCAGCTATCCAGTCATTAGTCCAAGCACTGGTCATCTCACGATTGGACTATTGCAACTCCCTGATGTTTGGCATATCGCAGCAAACTCTCAACAAACTCACCAGAGTTCAAAATGCAGCAGCACTGGTGCAGGCAAATATGAACACATAACGCCAACATTACGTACACTGCATTGGCTGCCAATCAGACAAAGAATTGTCTTCAAGGTGTTGGTGTTTGTGCACAAGGCCCTTCACAACCAAGCTCCAGAATACCTGACTGAACTAGTGTCATGGTATCAGCCATCATGAACCCTGAGATCAGCCTCTTTAAAACAAGCAGTAGTGCCCTCTACCCGCAGAGCGAGTTATGGCGATAGAGCTTTCGCCAAAGCAGGTCCTCTGTTATGGAACCAACTACCTGAAAACTTGAAAAACTTGTCAGACATAATTCCATTCAAAAAAGAACTAAAAACAGTTCTTTTCCACAGAGCTTTCGACCAAGCGCCTTAGAGCAAACCTTGGATTCAGGCGCTATACAAATTTTAACATTATTATTATTATGATCACTTGGCAGATGCTGACAAAGCAAAAATTATGAGCAGGTTTGTAGTCACGATCAAGGATCTGCACAGCATATTCAGAACCACTGCCCAAAAGTTTGATAAGAAAGATGCTTTTATCAGTAATACCTACGTCTTTACATCTTTACAATCTTGAAACTTTGTAGAAACACTTTAAAACATGTGTTGGAACTTTTTATGAGTAAATGAATCGACAAAGCGATACCTGAACAACATCAATTTTCCTCTGCGTTTTCAGATTCCAACAAAACGACTTTATAATATAATTCATGTCAAGATATCATTATCCCTACCTGTTGGAGAAAGTGCCGGCGACAGAGGACTCGATGAAGGTGCAGGTGCCGGTGCAGATGGAAATCCACCGGAGAGGAAAGGGTTTACGATAGGTGCTGGAGCGGGTGCAGGAGCTGGGTTGGGAGGGGCAACCTGTACAGGGCTACCAACGGAAGCAGTATTAGTCACAGGAGGCATAAACAGGCTTCCTGATAAAGTCGGAAGAAAGCCAGACTGGCTTGGAGTGCAGGCCAGAAGGACAACGAAGGCAAATAGAGCTTGCACCATCTCGAAAGCCTGACGTCTTCTGCTACCTAACTACGATCCTACTTTTATAGGTAACCACAGGTCATATCGTGGCCATATATGGCATCAATATTGAACATATCATGTTCTTTGCATTATAATTCGTGACAGACTATCTTGCTACTGGATCAACAGAAGCACCAGGCATGTGCACGAACATGTGTAATAAACACTTCCACTGGGGACCAATACCTTCCATGGCTATACAGTTATCTAAAAGTCAAATAATATATTCTCGTCTCCGATTTGAATGTAGCGACCTTAATGCGCACAAATATGAAAGATTTATATCTCCAACAACATCTTGCTCTTGTGGCCATAACTATGAAGACTCTGCTCTTTATTTCTTTTCATGGACTCTTTACAAAGATATACGTCAATGGATTTGACCTAAAATCAATTTTGTTTGGAAACACAAACTGCTCCACAATAGTAAACAACGAACTTTTAATTTCAGTGCACTTGTTTATAAATTTAACAATAATTTGTTTAATATGTCTTGTACTGTTTAAAAACGATTGGCGTAATTTCTCGTTTTTGCAACATTTATATAACATTCATCATAACATGTTTACTGTTACTTCCATTGTATCCCGGAGCGGTATTCATATAAGCTTATGCTTGTTTACCAATCCAGTTGCTTTCATTGGAAATAAATATGTTTAAATCATCTAAAAGTCATTTGAAAATCACAGAATGGTAAGACAAGAAGGCAATACTCTAAAAGTAACAATGGTCACAAATCATAACAAAGCTATCACTTTGGCCGAACAAAGTAGCATGGAAGTACAAATTCAAATGCACCTATAACAGTAATCCAGCTTCAGAGAGTAGGTCTAGGCAGGATATCCCAGGGTAGAGAGTGATCACACAAAATGATGGTCTTCTGGTGGCTTAAGATGTAATGTGAGATGCGAGACAAGAGTTAGTTCCCCTTAGATAAATAAGAAAACACTACCAGATCTTTCTACACTGTAATCAATATTAATAGAGATGTCTAGAGTGAGTGAGTTTATTTTTACGCTGCTTTTAGCAATATTCCAGCAATATCACCGCGGGGGCAGCAGATATGGGCTTCAAGCATTGTATCCATGTGGGGAATTGAACCCGGGTCTTCAGCGTGACGAGCGGACGCTTTAACCACTAGGCTACCCCACCGCCCCGGAGATGTCTAGAGGGTTGTAGCACACTCCAGTATCCTGTCTAGATACAGCACAAATCTGCCCCTCGCTGGACATCACATGTACAATGTATTACAGTTGGAGTGAGTGACTGAGTTCAGCTTTACGCCGCTTTTAGCAATATTCCAGCAATATCACGGCGTGGGACACCAGAAATGAGCTTTACATGCTTCGACTTGTACCCCAATCATGTCTCTTTTTTTGTTTCTAAATCCTTATACAGTCATAAATCTGTGCTAAGGACAAATATTAACCCAAAACACAATATCCTCTACTTGTTTGGAAGTGAACTGAAATCAGCCTTAAAATTTCATTTATAATCATTTATATAGGGACGTGCATTTCAGTTCATACTAGATGAGCCCCGTGAAGATCCGGGTTAAAATTGATCTTCAGTGCTTGTCGTAAAAGGCGACTGGCGGTTTCGGGTGGTCAGGCTCGCTGACTTGGTTGAACATGTCATCGCATCCCAATTGCGTAGATCGATGCTCATACTGTTGATCCCTGGATTGTCTGGTTCAGATTCGATTATTTACAGATCTCCGCCATGTAGCTGGAATATTGCTGAGTTCGGCGAAAAACTAAACTTACTAGAAATGATCTTGTTCAACCGAAACGTATGACTTTTTGTGGAAGCCGATCACCTCTCATTCATACTAGATGGTATTATGGTTTTAGCTCTCGGACACCATGATACATTTTGTCCTGTAACATGGCACATAGAACGGTTGTGAGGATACTGACAAGCCAAGGTTACCCAGGTCTAGTATTGATCGACAACCAATTGTTACCACTCTTTGTGTTGTAAGTAATGTTGAAAATAGAACGTCGATGTGTTTGTGAAATGACGACACTTGAAAATAGGTAATAACTTAATAATCACTTCACGCCTGCAAGTTACGTCTTGACTTGAAAAGCAATCAATCAATCGTTATTCAGAACTGAAGGCCACAGCCCCATAGTACAGGTATATAGAAAGTTCAAAGCAGAGTGGATTTCTCTTCAAAAAAGCATGATAGATAAACAAAGCAGTATTTTTTGAATAAATATACGTTTAGAAGTTGACAATAGTTGGATAAATTTATGTTTTGACGGTTGTTTCGTAAAATAATTGGGTATATATTTGCTTCTAATGTTTCTATGATAATCACAAATTTCCTGAACATGGTATTCATCCTATAGGGCATTCAATTTACAGTACCTGCACACAGTAGATTTCCTATTGATAACAATTTTCCATGATAACAACTTAAATCATAATAAATGAAACGAAACTGTGATAAGGCTATTCTTACTTTCTTAATATTGATATATAGCGTACATATGGTTCACACATGAAATGTTCTTGAAACAGGGAATAAGTAAAGGTACAGGGACTATTTTGGAGTTTTGCATGCCACTGCTGTATAAAGAAATCTTTGCTTCTTCTTGCAAGTAAATTTAAGAATTGATGTTTATTTCCAACTCCCTGCCTCCCTGCCTCCATTAAGATCCCAGTATATGGCCAAATTGGCTTATGAGACACACAGACCAGTTTTAAAACATAGTAGTACCATAACATATATATATAAGGTATAGAACATAAAATGCATGTTATAAAACATTTAAGAAAAGATTAAATAATACATAAAGCGTCCTTCTTTAAACATTTGTAGAAGGGTAAAAGCTGTCTCAATTGCTGAGGGGAGGTTACCACATCTGAACTTAGATAGGATACGGCGTTGATCCCGATATTTGACTGTCCGAACGTAACAACTTGTTTTAGGTTCAGTCTTGAATGTTCTATAGGTTCGGAGCTTGTTCCCCTTTGGTTTGTTGTGGTCGTTCCATAATTCACGCGTCCAGTCGTTGATATCGCATTGAATAAAAGAATCTTTAAATGCATCTATTTTTCTCTTACTTGGCATATCTGTGTCGATTATATCTGTAGCACCATGGTTTTCCAACAACTTGAACACTCTTTTTTCCCAAGATCTCGACTGTGTTTTTCCCCACTCATGTATTATACGGACGTTTCTATCGCTTTTCATCTTGTTAAGTCTTGTTAGGAGTCTGCAAACCTCCGTGCGCTGTGTCACTGTGCAGGATGTCCAGCCCATATCGCCAGGTGTCGCTATGTTGGAGGCGTTTTGTCCAGTTCCCAGGAAGTACTTGCAGGCTCTGTTCTGTACTGTCTGCACCTCTCTGTACGTGTTGATTCCCCAGATTCCGGCTCCATAAAATAGCACTGGCTCTACTGGCTCTGTATAACTTTGTTTATCTTACCTCACACATACATGTCGATTTCTGATTGGATGAGCGCTCTTCTATTATTTTCAATGTACCCCGCTTACAAGGGGGTAACATTTAAATGTACCCCGCTGTCAATGGCAACTCATTTGGTACTTCGTGGTAGTAATTCTTTATCTCGAATAACATTGAATCACGTATGATGTACGGAAATTACCGATGTTTCGCGAATGCAAATCGATGGAAGGGAGATAACTCTAAATCTGTTTTTCTTAACAGCTAGCGATGGCTACAAAAAGGTTTGTACCCGTGCTTTAATCAATTCAAAATTAACGTTAAGGTGTTCGGCAAGATAAATACGTTGTCCATTGGTCCATCGGGGCCCATGGGTTGATGTACCCTCGATGTTTGTTTATGTACATCAACCCATGCCCCACTCGTGACCAGTGAACAACTTATAATATACATCAAAGGACATCCCTCCAGCTCTGTTTAACAGGGAAGAAGGTGCTCTGCTTGCAGACTTGCACAGTTCTCTCAAAGTTTTCCCCATATCCAGCTGTTCATTCAACCATTTACCAAGATATCGATATCAGTCGGTATACTCAACCCCACTGTCTCCACAAGTAAACTTGAATTCTCTCCTCTCTCTTGATGGCATGCGAAAGTGAATCACTTTAGTTTTTCCAATATGTATGTCAAGTTTCCAACTTCTACACCATCCCTGCAGAACATTTCACATGTGAAGACCAATTAAATCTATTACGGTCGGCGCTTGCGTTTAAATCTAGATTACGTAACATTTTGTAAGATTTAGATGGGTAGCGGGAAGAGGGCATGGAGAGGAGATTTACCCAGTAAGCAATACAGCGTTTAATGGTGTACACATGGATAGGATACCTACCAGTTTCTCCAAGGATAATTGTATTTAGTGTAGACATTCGCAAACCAAGGAATCGTTGACATGCATAAAGTAATACCCTTTCCAAACAATCATGCTTGTGAAAGCCCAATAATTATGACCCATATAATAATATAGGCTGTATCTTACAGACGAAATTTTGAAGTAAATATCATGTGACAAGTCTTTAAAGCTAGAAAGGCATTTCGTAATAGACACTTAAGCTTTCTTTGCCTTAATTGAAATGTTTTCGGCAGAGAGGGACCAATTTAGAGTTCTATTATATGATATGCCAAGATACTGGTAGGATGTAACAACTTCAAGCGTAGTTGATTTATATATCCTTTCTTCTGAATTTGGCAGCTTAGATCCTTTTTTAAAAATCATAATTTTAGTTTTATCAAGGTTGACATTTAAGGCCCATTTATTACAGTAGGTTTCTAAAGCATTAATTTGACTCTGCAGACCAATTGCTGACTCTGAGAAAAACACCACATCATCGGCAAACATCAAAATAAATGTTTCAATAAGATCTGGATATAATTGGACACCAGTGGAACATGAACGGTTAATCTCAGACACTAGTTCGTTGATAAAAAAATGAAAATAGGAAAGGGCTTAGGACACAACCTTGCCTAACACCATCAGGACGTCAAATACATTTGTAAGAACATTGTTATTTGTGTGAACACAGGATTTAACATTTTCATAAATACTTTTAAATGTTTTATCCATTTTTGAATGGAAACCGTGTTTATTAAAGACATACCATAATCTTTGCCTCTGTACTGAATCAAATGCTTTGGGAAAATCTACAAAACATGCATACAGTTTGCCACCTTTCTTGGAAACATATTTACAATTTACTGATTGAAGAACAAATATATTGTCTGTGGTAGTATAGCATGCTCTAAAACCTGCTTGTTCTTCATTTATCATATCCAAACTGTCTGACCAGAATACCAAGCGGTTATTCAAAATGTTTGTATAAATTTTACCAAATATACTTAAAAGGGAAATGGCGCGATAATATTCCGGATTGTTTATATCGCCTTTTTTATGTATTGGCACAATTATTGCACTGAATATATCGTTAGTTATGTCATGTGCCTGGTTTTCAGGTACAAATAATTATGCTGTTACCATCTTCTACGGAGTAACAAGAAGTCACACTGGAGTCCCAATCAAAGAGATTCTTAAAGTTGTCGTGCCATTTACTGTAATGTTATTTTAAATTTTACGTGAACATGAGATGTACTTTAGCTTTCGCCCAAAAAATTGGGGATTAGTTATTGAGTCTTAGAGCTCACTCATATTTTGGTTTTCAAATTTACGTTTCACATCTCTACACGCAGTTTTGTAGATATTTCTTGACGACATATATATATATATATATCTCGAGATGGCGTGTCCTTATGCTTTCTAAATGTATTAAAGGTAACATGCAACGTAAAACACAACTTTGCAGATTCTAATACCTTTCGGTGTGGACTTACCGAAACAAATCATCAAAAATGCAAATT